ATCATATTTAAAGAAATTTTAAAAGAAAGCTGCCTAATCACTTGGGATGAGATGGAAAAGTCAAAATAGAATAGCTTCACTAGTCACCTCCTAGAAGAAACAGCAAAATGAAATCTCCCAGAAACATCACATGCAAAACACAGAGTTTTCACCTCAAAGGAAAACCTGCAAGAAGCCTGAAAAATAAGAATTCATGTACACAGGACCTGGAGTCAGGATCACATGTGATTTAGTAACCACCACTATAAAGGAGCAGAGAACTTGGAATTGAACATAAGGCAAAGTATACAAGTTATAAGCTAAGAAAAATTTACCTAGCAAAATTGAGTATAATGCTACAGGGGAAATAATGTAGCTATAATGAAATTGAGATGATTTCTCAATCACCAACCAGAATTCCTGATGAAAAAACCAGGGCTGAATAGAAACTTTGAAATTCAAACACAGGAGTAAAGAGAAACATAAAAATCTAAACATGAATAAATAATAATAAAGGGGAAAAAAGGACGAACTGCTTACATCATAATATGGGGATATGATACATATGTCCCTTCTGAACTCTATCATCACCAGGGTTGATAGAGGGAGTATAAGTAGTGAACTGGTTCACCTAGGGGTCAAGATGGGGAAAGGAGGAGGTTGTGGCTAATACTGGGGTGATGACCTAGGTGAAAATTTAGGGATTGAGAGGTTGGCAGTAAGTGTGGATTAAAAGCCGAGTTTGGCATTAGAAGACAGAAGCAGAGGTAGAAATCCAATAGATTATGATCAGATAGGAGTTCATGACCATGAAAGCGGTGGAGATGTGGGTGATGGCAAGATCTCTTGACCATTGAAGTGAATAGCTGAAGTGGAGTGGAAGAGTAGATCATGTGAAATGGGTAAATTGAAAACTGTGAGGTCAGGATATTTGACAGAGTATCAATATGTATGATGAAGTCCCCTAGTATGAGGACAGGAGTCGAGGAGGAAAGACAGTGAACCAGATACTAATCTCATTCAGGAAAGAAAAGATATATCCTGGAGGTTGGTCGTTAGCAGTTACTAGAATTTTGATTGGGGGCACAGATATGGATTGTGGGAACCTCAAAGGAGATGTTATTGAATGAGGGTGGTAGATGGGCATTCAAATAAATAATAGGCATTCAAAACATTGCTAGGAAAAAAAACCAGACCTGAACAAATTGTAGATTTGTAAATGCCCCAGACAACAGAAATACAAGCAAGGTAAACCAATATAGCAACCAAAAAGATACAGATAACAAAATTAATTTACCCTAGGGGGGGAAAATCTAAAGGGAGCTGACCACCACAACAATAATAACTCTCCAAGAGAGGGACCATTAATAAATTTCTTTCTAAAAGCACAGAAAGAGAAAAGGATGAAAATGGGAGTCAAAAAGAAGTAATAGTAGAGAAATAGACCTGTAACATCTTGGACTGAGCCTTATAACACCCCAGCTCAAGGGGAAATCAGTGTTTTTTTGTTGGACTAAATTGTAGAATGTAAGGTCACAATAGAAGGAAGTCAATAGTTGACAATGAAGGACAAATAACTCCTGTAGCCTCTTAGGAAGAAGAGGGCCTATGTAATAATGGCTGAGGAGGAAAAGAAGAAATTGAAAAGGGAAGTTGGTAAAGAAAAGGAAAAGCTTGTTTCAGTGGTGGAGGAAGTTCGACTGAAGAATGCTGCCAAAGGGCAAAAGAGATTGTACAGTGGGATTTGGGGACCTTACAATGGGTATAATATGCAAGGATTGGATGCTTAGAGATAGGCCTCATCTTACCTCAGTTGAGAAGGGGAATCAGAATTCCTCAGGGTAATTGGCCCCCAGAAGAAGGTATGGGCATGATCCAGAGAGGAGATTTCATGTCAAATGGGGAGAAAATGGTAACAGAGTGGGTAAAGTGTCGTACACAACTGAATAATCAGGGACGTGGCCTAATTTTTACCAAGGCAACACTTCTATCTCTTGCAAGAATTTCTACATCTAAGAATGAGGCACAAAAGAAAAAGCAGGGAGAAGAGGCAAGATTTACCCAACAATACCATAATAAATTATTTAGAGAAGAGAACTCAAAATTAGTTTATTAGAAATTTTTAATTCCATCAGGAATTTTGCTGCAGCTGTTCAGTTGTTTCAGCTGTGTTCAACTCTTTGTGACCCCATTTGGGGTTTTCTTGGCAAAGCTGCTGGAGTGGTTTGCCATTTCCTTCTCCAGCTCATTTTACAGATGAGGAAACTGAGGCAAACAGGGTGAAGTGATCTGCCCAGGGTCACATAGCTAGTAAGTGTCTGAGGGCAGATTTGAACTCAGGAAAACTAGTCTTCCTGACTCTAGGTCAATGAGTAAAAGATGCAGAAAATGAAATGCAAAAACTAACAAATTGAAGGGGAAGAGATATAGAAGGATTTTAATTTATTACTTTACTTGTTAGAGAAAAAGAGGGAAAAACTTAGAAAACTAGATTAAGAGAATGAATAATTAAAGCAAAATCCCAAAACTAGGGAAAAGAGTGACAAATGAAGGGTGAGGATGTTGAAGGTTGTTCTTGTATTGTTATTGTTTGTTTTTGTTTGTCCTTCATTCTCCAAGAGAACCATGACCTCAGGGAGGTGATGCCATGACATTCAAATTAATTGGATTTAAGCGAGATAGGGCTGTGCAAAGTCATCAGCCTCATTTTCTCCTCCAGAGCCATGTGGATCCAGTGACAAGATAGAAATCAGGACGACTAGAGATGTCCCCGCAGGTGTTGAAGAGAGATATGTGAATAGGGCTGCCTTAAAGTAGACTAAGATAAAATAAATGAAGAAACAACATACTATCTTTATAAAGGAAGAGGAGGAAAATCCAATTCAGAAATAAATTATATTAGATACAAATGGAGGAAAATATAAAACTGACTCTCATAACTTTAATTGTAAATTGAATAAAGTTTCTAAAATGGTTCTCAAAGTGTGGTATGAAGACTCCTCAGGGTCTCTGGGATTCAGGAGTTCCATGAGGTCAATATCATTTTAATAATAATACTAAAATGTTTTAATTCCTAGTAAACTAAGTATCGATGGATACAGTTTATATAAACAAAAGCTCTTTGGGGGGTATTTAATACTTTTTAAGAGTATAAAGTGTTTATATAAACAAAAGCTCTTTGGGGGGTACTTAATACTTTTTAAGAGTATAAAGTGTTTATATAAACAAAAGCTCTTTGGGGGGTATTTAATACTTTTTAAGAGTATAAAGTGTTTATATAAACAAAAGCTCTTTGGGGGGTATTTAATACTTTTAAAGAGTATAAAGTGTTTATATAAACAAAAGCTCTTTGGGGGGTATTTAATACTTTTTAAGAGTATAAAGTGTTTATATAAACAAAAGCTCTTTGGGGGGTATTTAATACTTTTTAAGAGTATAAAGTAGTCCTGAGACTAAAAACAAAGTTTGAGAACTACTAGATTAAACAGTCCAATAAAATGAAAAAGAATGACAGATTGGAAAAGAAAACAAAACCTCACAATCTGTTACTTATGAGAAACACATCTGAAAAGCAAAGATAGACACAGAATGAAAATGAGGGGTTGGAAAGAAATTTGCTTCTAGTGAATCCAAAAGAGCAGGTTTAATAGCAATCATATTATTAGAACAAAGCAAAAACTAAAATTTACAACATAAAAAAATAAACAAGGAAACTATATTATGCTGGAAAGAACCATAGACAACAAATCAGTATCAATATTAAACTTATATCCTATTGTCTTAGCATATAAATTCTTGAAGAATGAAGTGGCTTACAAGAAGATATGGAGAGTAGTAAAATAGTGGCAGAAGAGAGAGTCCCTCTCGGTTTTGGACAAATCACACAGAAAGATAAACAAGAGTAGAATTGAACAAATTGCTCAAGAAACTAGAGCTAAAAGATGAATGGCATCTTCTAAATGGTGCTGCTAAAGAATACACATATTTCTTACCACCGCACGGAACTTCTATAAGAAATGAGCATGTTTTCGGGGACAGGGATGTTGCTAATAATGGACATACATAGTATTGGCATAAATGGCAGACGTAGTAAACACATTGTGGGCAGTAAGATATTGACCAGTTCAGGGAGCACAAATGAAAGTAGACAGCAACCCAAGTAGAAATCCTGAAACACTGAAATCCTGAAAAATATGTGGGCCAAAGAACAAATCGCAGAAACAGTAATTATGTGAAATAAAATGCCAGAATTTTGGGATGCCGTTAAGTTGCCATTAAGGGGGAAATTATACTATTGAAAACATTAACAAAATAGAAAAAATTAACAAAATAGAGTATTTAATAAATTGGATATGCTTTTTACAGTGTTTTTATTGCTGTGTACTTTTACATCATTATATTATCCCCAGTGTATCTCCCATTCCTCCTTCCAGAGAGCTAATCTATTTGTTATAAATAGTATCTTTTAAGGGCAAAAAAAAAAAAAAGGAAAAAATGAGCACAACTGATTGATACATGAAAAACTCTGAAAACATCACAGTGTATCACACCTGTGGACCTCCCACCTCTGGAAGGGGTGGGTTGGGGATGCCCTCTCGTAACTCTTAAATTAAATCATGTTTGATTTTTCTTGGCTCTGCTTACTTCATTCTGCATCAGTTCATATCGATCTTTCTATGATTCTCAGTGTTCATCACACACATCTTTTCTTATAGCACCGTAATATTCCATTACATTTACATGCTGCATTTGTTTATTCATCCCCCCAAAAGTAGGTATCTACTTTGTTTGAATTCTTTGCTATCACAGGAAATGTTTTTATAAATATTTTGGTGTATATAAGGACTGTCTTCTTATTGATGGCTTCTTTGGGTTATAATATCAGTAATGGAGCCTCTGAGTCAAAAGGTATGGCCCTTTTAGTGACTTAATTTTATTCACTTTTCATAGTTATAAATTGCTTTCCAAAATGTTTATTCCATTTTACAGCTCCACCAACAATGTATTTGTGTGTTTATCATTCTACAACCTGACACTGACAATTGCCATTTTTTGTCATCTTTGCCAATTTGCAGGGTGTGAGGTAAGACCTCAGGATCATTTTTATTTTTATTTCTCTTATTTTTACATTTGTTCAGTTTCATATTATCCCTTTTATTTAATCTATCCTTTTAGACTTATCCAAATCAGAGAATGAGCTATTGAAGTCTCCTGTCACTGTTGTGTTATTTTCTATGCCTTTCTTGTTTCTCAGTTAATGTTTCCTTTATGAATTTGGATGCAAATACATTTGGAGCACAAGTTTATTACTGGTATTGGTTTGTTGTCTATAGTTCCTTTAAGCATTATGTTGTTTACTTATTTATTTCTTTTTATTTTTTGAATGTTTTTAGTAGCATGATTGCAACTGCTGCTTTTTTGGATCTACTTGAGGCATAGTAAATTTCTTCCATCTCCTCAATTTTATTTTCTGTATGTCTTTGTTTTTTTTAATGTGTTTCTTGTAAACAACAGATTGTATGGTTTTATTTTCTTATCAAATCTATTTCCCATTTTCATTTTATTAGATTGTTTAATCCATTCACATTTCAAGTTACGGTAATTAGGCTTATATATTACTTTGTCTTTGTGTTTTTTCTTACGGAAAAGGGAATTCCCCAAAAGGGAGTTGAAAAGAAGTGGGGGAAGGAAGAAGGAATCCAGCATGGGATGGTGGTGGGGGGATGGGACATACTTTTGAAGTCTAGATAGTCAGGAACAGAGCTGGAAAGAGAACGAAGTCTGGCTCAGGCCCTTCAACAAAATTGAAGCTCCAAGAGGAATACACCAATGAAAGAAGGAAGACAATCCTGGTGGAGGAATATTTCAAGGTGACCAGACCAAAGAGACAATAATTCCAAGAGACTCCTTCCCTCCTTCCTCCCTCATTGCCTATCTTGTTGTCATCTAATTTTTGTAAAGTGATTTTTCTACTGATTCCCGTTTCTAAGCCAAAAGATTTCCATTACTGGTTTATCATGAACCAGGAATAAAATAGGCAATTGGCAATGCAAACTGTTCCCACACAGAGCTGGAAATATTCTTTAATTTTATTCTGAGCAGACCACCCAGAGGGAGTGAGCCAGTAGTTTCATTCTTGGCCCTTTTTCCAGGAAGACACAAGTCAAGGATATAATTAACATCAAAGAAGATAGGCTTACATTATTTTTTCAGGACACCAATATAGGACACTCTTAGAACAGCATTTAAAGTCAATTATTTCTGGATGGGCCACCAACTGCTTTCATTCTTGGTCATTATTGCATTACCTGAAGAATTCAAGAATGAATGAATTAGGAAAGGACATAAAGCTGTCAGGATACAAGATAAAGAGGGGATGTATCAAAGTTGTTAAATAACTATTTTCCTTATCTCTGGCTATATTGGGGAATTGAAATCATATTGAAAATGTGAATCAAAGTGCTTAACACTTATTAACTCTTTTGATCTGGAAAGTTAGAGGGTGCAGGTTATGAAAGGCTTTGAATACCAATGAGAGAATTTTTATATTCGATCCTGAAGGTGATGGAGAGTCACTAGAGTTTGAGTATCAGGGGTGGTGACATGGTCAGATCTTCCCTTTAAGAAAATCATATTACAAATAAGTGGAAGATGGATTGGGGAGTACAGAAAGAATTGTGACAGGCAAAACAACCAACAGGACTTTGCAATAGTCCAGGTGTGATGGCAGTGTCAGAGAAGAGAAGGGGGAATATTCAAGAGAAATTACAAAGGTAAAATCAATGGGCCTTGGCAACAGATTGGATGGGGGTAAGAGAGTGGGGAGTCAAGGATACCACATATATTGTGAGCCTGGGTGAGAGGGAGAACGATGATGCCCTAGACAGTAACAGAGAAATTTAGAAGGAGGTGGGGTTTGAGAAGAAAATTGATTAGTTCAATTTTAAACATGTTGAGTTTATGATGTCTACAAAACATCCAGCTTTAATGTCCAGTTGGCAGTTGGAGATGCAAGTAGAGAAACTAGAGAAGTATATTTAAGAATCATCCAGATAACATCCAAGACAGGAACTATATTTTAAATGGGACAAGGACCGAGCCACTTCATCGGAGACTGGGGCTGATCAACAGCATCTACACTGCAATGAAAGTAGGACAAACCTCAGTACTTTGGTGTCCCATTCAAGGGCTGCAATGGGAGATGACTCCTAGACTTACCTATCTGATCCAAATATGGAGGAGAGGGCAGAGCCTGGCCCCGGCAGAAAATATAATCCAGAAATTAAGGTTGAAGATACACTTCAAATAGAAGGAGACTCCCAATAAAATAAAAAAAAAAATACAATGGGTTGGAATAATTCCAAGGCAAAATTTCATAAGAAGATAAGTTCAAAATAAGCAGGAGAACTCCAGAAATGAATGGGTGCAGGAAATGAAGGAAGAGATGAGACATATAAAGAAAGAAATTTGAATACTTGGAAAGAGAATAAACAGCTTAGAATAGAAGTTAGAAAACCTTATCCTAAAAATGGATTCTCTGAAAAACAGAAAAGGAGCTAACAAAATTCAGTAATTAATTAGATAGAACTATTAGAGCAAAGCTAAAGGACTGAAAAATTAGCAGAACATGTGAAGTATCAGGACAACTAACTTGGAAAATAGGATAATTAAACACACTGGAAATGTCACAGCCAAATTCCAAAGTTTTCATATCAAAGAAACAATATTAGAAATATCCAGGAAGAAAGAGTAAACAACAAGGCACCAGTTAGGATTACACAAGATTATGAAGCAAATAACTCAAAGAAAAGGAAAATTTGGAATATGATCTAGCAAAAGGCAAAAAGCAAAAACTTTAGAACCAAGAATAATTTATCCTACAAAATTCAGCATGATTTTATTAGGTGAAAAAAGGATTTTTAACAGAACAGATGGCTTTCAAACATTTCTGATGAAAAAAATCAAACTTTTGTGCAATCTTTGAAACACAATCACAGAAAACAAGTCAAAAATAGAAACAGCAACAGCTCTGCTCCTCATCCCCTCTCCACTCTTGAATCAGATAAATAAGAGTCACATCATAAACAAACTAGAAAGAAGACATTAACTTTCAGATTTATCTCTAGGAGAAAAGCTTATGACAATAGAAGGTCCAAAAAGGGAGCAAAGATTATTACAGAAGATAAAATGGATAGTTCTGATTACATTTGACTTAAAAATTCTTGCACAAATCCAATGCAGTTAAAATTCTGAAAAATTATTACATCAAGTTTCTTTAAAGTTTTCTATTTCAGACCTACTCAATCTGATTCAAATTTATATGAATGAGAGCCACTCTCAAATTGATAAATGGTCAATGAATATGAATAGGCAGCTTTAGAAGAAAAAAATCCAACCTGTTAATGGCCATATGAAAATGCTCCAATCACTAATACTTAGAGAAATTAAAATTATAACAACTCTCTAGTTCCACCTAACATCCCCCAGATTGGCAAAGTTTACAAAAAAAGGAAAATGATAAATGTTAGAAAGGGCTAGGGGAAAACAGGTACATTAATTAATAGCTCCATTGCTGATGGATTTGTGAATTGGTCCAGTCATTCTGCAAAAATACTTGGATCTGTGTTCAAAAAGTTATTAAACTATGTATAACCTTTGACTCAGCAGTACCACTGCTAGGTCTATACCACAAAGAGATCAAAGAAAGAGACAAACAATCCATATGTTTAAAAACATTTATAGGAACTTTTTCAGTGGCAAAAAAATTAGAAACTGGGGGGGGTGCCTATCAAGTGTGGAATGGCTGAACAAGTAAAGATATATAAATTTAATGAAATAATGTTGCACAATAGGCAATGATGAAATGAATAGCATCAGAAAAATCTGGAAATTTGCCTGTATGAATTTATGTAGAGTCAAATGAGTAGAACCGGGAGGACTATTTACATAGAAATAACAACATTATAAAGAAAACTTTGAAACACATGAGAACTCTGATTGTTGTAAGACCAACTATAGTTCCAGAGGAGTGATGACGAAACATGCTATCGGTCTCTTGACAGAGAGGTAATAGATTCATGATATAGAATAAACATGCATTTTCACGCACTGTGTGGAGCTTTATTTTGCTTGACATATTTATTACAAGGGCTTTCATTTTCTTTCTTTTCCTTTTTTTAAATGAAGGGGTGTGTGTAAAAATGAGTGGGGATAGGAATACATGGGAGCAAACCCAAAAAGAAATAAAAGAAGGTAATTGAGGTATATTTCAGTTTGTTCTTGTTGCTGTTTCAAAACAGAGAAGATAATAGAGGGAAGACCAGAAAGAAGCTTAGACAAGACATTCAGCTCTGTATTATATACTTTAAAAAAAAGTTGCCCATAATAAACATCTGCAGTTTGATGTGCAGTCCTATTTTTCCTGTTCCACCACAAACATGGAAATTCTGTTTTTCTTTGGTTTGTTCAGAATAAAAATAAGGAATTAAAAAAAGATGTGAGAAGGATTAATTTATTCATAAAGGGATGGGGTTCAGCAATGAAAGAGGAGAATCTAACAAAATGTTATTATAAGAAACCTACTTGCATCATAAATATTCACACATACTAGAAAAATGAAGGATTGGAGTGAAATCTATTATGCATCAGAATATCAAAAAAAAAAGCCAGATTGAATATCACGATCTCAGACAAAAGAAAAGCATAAACAGATATGATTGAGTTAACTAGTATTTAGGGATATAAATAAAATCAAAAGACAGTCCCTACTCTCAAGGAGCTCACAGTCTTTGAGGGAGACAACAGGCAAATGAATATGTTCAAACAAAATATAGACAGATATGTTGAAGGCAGTATCAGAGATGAGATATTAGGATTAAGGACTCAGAAAAGCTGCTTGCAGAAACTGGAACTTTAGCTGATGCTTGAGGGAAGCTACGGAAGCCAAGAGGTAGAGATGAGGAGGGCCAGCATTCCAGGAAAGAAGAACAGCCCATTAAGATGCCTGGAGTTATGAGATGGAGTGTCCTATGCAAAGAGCAGCGAGGAGGCCACTGTCATTGGTTTGCAGAATACTACTGAGGG